GAAATATTGCAACCTAAGCATTCTGCAATGGATTCAATCTCCCTATTCTCTAAGTTGGCTCCTAAGGGTAGCCCTAAGTATGTCAAAGGCCAAGAAGAAATATTGCAACCTAAGCATTCTGCAATGGATTCAATCTCCCTATTCTCTAAGTTGGCTCCTAAGGGTAGCCCTAAGTATGTCACGTGCTCTTTTAAGTTGTCACGCACCCCCCTCACTCTTGGGTCTTTTAAGCATAGCCCACTTAACTTTTCGGGCCTACTGGGCCCAAAATTACAATTTAGAGATGGGCCTGCTGGTTGGACTCCCGTGCATATTCCTAAGGCTACAAATACCTCTACCCGACCCGATGAATCACCTCCCTCCTCCCATATTGCACTAGGACCATTCCTCTCCACTGGAGTAAATTGCTTAGGTCCACAAGCAACTGCCTGAGCAAAAGAAACTTTGGTTTTCCCACCATTGCCTTGTGTAACACGTCTAACACTTCTAATGGTTTCCTGATCTGAGTCTTTTGGCCTGCCTAAAGGTTGTGCTTCCATTCTTGTGAAAACTCCTTGTTTCTTTTTTACAGCCACTTTCAGACTGCCACGTAGTTGCAGTTCCTCCACCACTTCGTCTTCCTCCTGCCTTGCTTTTCTCCACAGGGTAGCTTCAATGGAGGACAGTAACCACACTGGGAAGAACAAACCCTCCACAGCTACATTCACCTTCCTTGGTATATCTTCTAGTTTTACACCACCTAGTAGAATGGCTGCACTTCGCAGGTCTCCCCAAAAAACACCATCAAGGCGAGCTCCACACAACAAAGCAATTGAGTTTGCTGTTTTTCGATTCCACTGAGAACTTTGAATTTGATGAAAACGACCATTTAAAAACCGAGAAGATTCCCAGATCATCTTGGATACTTAAGGCTCTAACATTTACCTGGTTTTCAAAAGAGTCCAACACTGCCTTAGCAGGATCAAACGGGGTCACAATAAAGGTGCTTCTTAGGTCCATCTTGCTCTTCAACATTTCTACAACTTCCCACCAATCTGTCACCACCCCTCCAGCTTCAACCACTAGCATTCTATCCCATTTTCCTTTTGTCCCCTCTGCTACCAATGAAGAGTCCCTCCTACTATTTGATATGGAAACAAACTTTTTCTTTGTATCCTCTTTTTAACACAAAAACTGGCTTCTGGTTTCTGGTCGTTGTCCCCTTTCATCGACTTTCATATTCTCTTTATTCTACATTCTCCTTCTATTTAGAAAATTTGTTAGTGTCCCAGCAATCCTTCTCCAYCCTTGATCATTCTTCCCTTGAGGAAGACRAATCATTTGTTTCCTTCCTTTAGAGAAGTA